TTTTCAGACCGATGAGCTTTGTAAAAATCAACACGTTTCAGAAAGGAGGGGCATAGAGGAGAAACAATAATGTACAGTATGTGGAAAATAATGTGTTTTTTTAACCTTAAACCACATAAACACATTTCATTACACAAAATGATGTTCTTTTTAGCAGCATCATATGACCCCTTTAAAGTATCTAAATATAAATATAAACAATATATTAATATATATTACTACAATATATTGTTTTAAGATATACAATAATACCTTACATCTTATAATGTTATATTATAATATTTTAACAATACTATATATATATGTGTGTCTGTGTTAAATACACAATACATAGTTTTAAATATACATTATTGTTAATACATAATTAATAATATATATTAGACAATATTTATAAAATATTTACAATAATTATTGCAGTATCCATGGTTAAGTATTTTGACTAAATATTATTTTACATAATACATTTTTTTTTAAATATAATACTCAAACGCAATATACATACATATTAAAAATAACAATTAAGACATGTACATGAAATTCTGCTGTTTATTATTATTATTATTAATTATTATTATTAACGTTACATCAAATGGTTTAAAAAACTATTAAAACCATTTTTAAAGAACATTTTCTACTAATTCAATGATCAATATGCATTAATAAAAGCATTTAAAAAGGACACAAAAGTCACATTTAAAAAGTTATTGAAAATAATTAAATTAAACTATATATTAAAAATAATTAAAACATGTACATAAAATGTTATATTATTTATATTCTTATTATTATTATTTAATGTTACATCACAAATAATTGTTTCAAAATAGCTAGCTTTATTAACCTAATAAAAAACGTATTCTTTATTAATATTATCAATAATAATTACTACTAATTCAGTGACCAATATTAATAATAAATAAAATGTAGTAAAGCATGAAATAAAAGCATAATAAAAGCACAAGAAAGTTCACAACAGTGGTAATGGAGAGATTCAGGCGAGTTTCGCTGTATTTCGTTGGTGTCTACGGCAAGGAACGATGCAAAGAAAAATCAATTTGCAAACCTTGAAGAGTGGTTTAACTAGACAACTACATGGTGCAAAACAAGTAGTGGAGCAGTTGAGTGTGTGCATTCCTCAAATGTCTGTCAGCGAACAACATAAATCATCAAGGCCTCTGATTCATTTACACGGAAAAGAAAACAGTCAGGACAGAGCCATGAGGGAAATTAAAGAGACAGACAGAAACATGTACAGTAAATGTGAGGGAATGACAGAAAGAGCAGGAGAGTGTTTGAGACTGGGTGATGTAAGAATCGCCCTCTGCTGGTGTAAACCAGGACCAACACGCTCCCGTCTCTCTCCAGCAGATCAGAGCTCAAGTCTGCGGAGTTTTCTAGCGTGAGTCTGTCTGTACCTGTCAGCAGAGACACCCGGTGGAAGCTGCCGTCCAGCTTGCTCAGGAGGATGTTGACGAAGCTGTCTTTAGAAAGCTGACCGGCGTCTTTCGTGCTCTGATCGTACACCACCACCTCCTGCCTGCGGCCCAGGTCCACCTTCAGAGCACAGACACACACAGGAACACATCAGTCAGATGTCACAGATAAACGTCACAGCAGAGGAAACAGTACGCTGAGTGCAAACAGACTTCTGACTATCCTCACAATACAGCAAAGCTGCTATGATGACATATACTGTAGCAAACATGTCGTACCAAAAATGAGCGAAAATAATATTTAGAAATAAATATATTAGTTATATATATATAACATTTTCAAAACTATATATATACACACACACATATTTTTACAATGTATAATATTTACAATATTTACAGTATAAATTGCTAAGGACTGTGAATATATACAGGTGCATCTCAATAAATTAGAATGTCGTGGAAAAGTTCATTTATTTCAGTAATTCAACTCAAATTGTGAAACTCGTGTATTAAATAAATTCAATGCACACAGACTGAAGTAGTTTAAGTCTTTGGTTCTTTTAATTGTGATGATTTTGGCTCACATTTAACAAAAACCCACCAACTTGGAACTGACAATATATTGTATAGTTTAATAATATAATAAATATGAATTGAACATTAATATGCTTATAAAAATAATATATTATGAAAATATTACACTCAAAAACAAGATAGATGGACTGAGGAACTGACACAAAAGGGAGACAACATTTTGGCTATGCGTTTGTGATTATCGACTGATTAATCAATCTGTCTGGTATATCAATCAATTGCTGTTCTCTGACACAGATTATTATAATGCATTTTAAAAAAACGCATAAGCTTTTTAATATGCATTAGATTTTTAATAACGTCATGCATTAGAGTGTGAAACAGACAATCATGCGAGAATCGAGAGCAAAGGTGTGGGATCTTCTCCAAATGCGAACCTTTTGCAGAAAAACACATCTTTTGCACATAAAGTGGAGACTGTGAGGCTTTAGCGCGTGCACCAGTGCATAAGACCTGAATCTGAGTGTGTGTGTGTGCGTTTGCCATGCAGCGGGAGCGTGAAGCGGTGTGTGTCTGTGTGTGTGCTGCACGCGAGCCCCACTGTCTCAATGTTGTCAGGCAGTTTTTAATCACATGACCATCAGCCAGAGCCGCTGCAGAATGACTCACTACAATACTGGAACACTACTGGAGAAAACAGACAGAGAGGAGAGGAGGGGAGGAGAAACCAGGCCAGTGACAGAGGACGAAGATGAGGAAAGATGGAGGGACAAAAAAAGAGGGATGAGAAGATGACAGTCATGCAGGAGGTGAAAACACACAATATTGGCGATTAACAGGAATGCATGGGAGTGTAGCAACAACTGAGTTGGTTATATGGACCCAGTCGTCTAGCCATCACAATTTAGCCCTTGTCAAACTCACTCAAATCCTTACGCTTGCCCATTTTTCCTGCTTCTAACACATCAACTTTGAGGACAAAATGTTCATATATCACACCCACTAACAGGTGCCGTGATGAAGAGATAATCAGTGTTATTCACTTCACCTGTCAGTGGTCATAATCTTATGCCTGATCGGTGTATATATATATGTGACCCTGGACCACAAAACCAGTCATAAGGGTCAATTTTTTGAAATTGAGATTTATACATAATCTGAAAGCTGAATAAATAAGTATGGTTTGTTAGGAAAGGACAATATTTGGCAGAGATACAACTATTTGAAAATCGAATCTGAGGGTGAAAAAAAATCAAAATACTGAGAAAATCGCCTTTAAAGTTGTCCAAATGAAGTCCTTCAATGCATATTACTAATGATAATAATTTTGTTATACATTTACAGTAGGAAATTTACAAAATATCTTCATGTAACATGATCTTTACTTAATATCCTAATAATTTCTGGCATGAAAGGAAAATCAATAATTTTGACCCATACAATGTATTGTTGGCTATTGCTACAAATATACCCCAGCGACTTAAGACTGCTTTTGTGGTCCAGGGTCACACACACACACACACACACACACACACACAAACACATATACATTCAGACTTGTTTATTACATTTTTGGTTGCCGAAATTTCAGTGCATCATCACTAATAACAATGTCTGATTTGTGAATGAATCATTCTTTTGAGCCAGATTTTTAAAATGAATCAGTTACACAAAATCTGATCAATTTGAATCATTTATTTATTTTTTTTAATTCAGTTGATTCAGAGTAAAAAAAATGGCAGAATTTTCATTTTTGGGTGAATATGATGACGTCACTCAATTTCTGATGAGCTGCTAACTTTAAACGCTTGACCTCTTCAATTGGATTCTGATTGGCTCTCAATGGTTTTATCATTCATCAGCTGGAAAAAAGAAAATCATTCTGAATGTGATTCCAATGACATCGTTCCTCTGTGACGTTATCAGTATAGTTGTGGTGTGGACTTATTCTCACAAAATTACAATGATTATTAACCCTTTATAGTCAAAGTTGTCATTATAGTTATCATCCTTGGTGCGAACGGACCTTTAGCCACTAAAAAACACCAGTTGTCCATTACATAGTAAGAAAACATCACCTTTAAATTAAAAAACCTGGCCTTTATTCTAAACAGCACTGACCTGATTTCAAATCCACATCAATGGACTTCAGTCAGTTCTATCTACGGTATGACGATTTCATATTCCCTTTCATTCAAGTAAAGCTGAGCTTTGGACTTCACAACACATTATATTGATCATTTAATTTAGAAACAGCACTACACAGCCTTGCAAACACAGGGTGTATCTAAACGCAAGTAAGAAAGTGAGAAGGTGTACGTGTGAGAAACCAAAGGTCTGTGTGTGTAACAGTACGACACCCTCAGCTTGGCAGGGCGCCTGAAAGGTGATGTCACCTGCTAAAGGTCGGCCGCGGTGGAAGATTACCATGTTTCCCTGCCAGGCCAGCTCCACTGACTGCGAAAGTTAAATAATAGCACCTCAGTCCTGGTTTTAAAGCGCCTGGAGAACGTTTACACCTATCGTGCGATTATGCAAGTGAAGCTTAGCTGTTAGATAAGGTATTAAACTGAGGCTATTGATTGACAGAGGATAGTGAGAAACTAGGCCTCCCTGCTCATCGCCCTGGCCGTCTCCCGCAGGCTCCTCCCCTTCTGTACAAGGTGTTCCGCCTTAATTGGATGAAGGCTAAATCTAGACGGTGACATCATCACCTGAGGATTACGGGCTCTCGTGAAGGCCTGCTGAAGCCTGGGTCACCTACAGGGCAAACACGAACGCT